AGGGAAAACTTTCTTTTTTAAAAAATATTGCACATCTCTGAATCATTTGATATCTGAGTTTTTCTTAAGAGGATATTCAAAACAGGCAGTTTGGGGAGCACTTTATGAGAATTGTGGAGTCTATCGGGTAGAGCCAGGACGTGAATCTGAAATAGTCCTACTGTTCCCCACGTCTGTGCCTTCTCTTGAGCCAACAGGAGACTTCTAGGGACCATCCCCACAGGACAGAGTGTGGTCCTGGTGTGCTCAGAATGGAACTGATCTTCTAAACAGAAATCAGTTTGAATGTGGCAAACTATTTTCAGAGCCACAGGCTACAAGCAGGATCTAGACACCAAGGTGTGTGGTCCGAGTCTCTGTGCTCATTGGCAGCAGGGCAGCTGGGGAGGGTGCCCTGAGTCCCTCTCACAGGGGAGGGGCCCACAACTGGACATGCACAGATAGTCATTTGTTAAGATATCTGAACAAATTTTGTAGGTAGAAGGGTCCTCAAAGTCAGATAACTCAAGTTGGGGTTCGAAATAGTCATTTGGAAAAGATTTCCGAGTGACTTATATGTAAATTTGTTTTGAATTAAATGGCTTAGGTTACCCTTTTCCTTTCACCCATTTTTTTTCAGCTTTCATTGAAGTCCCTAAGCTCTACTCTTGATAAAGTAGCATCTTCAGTGATGTCCTAGCCAGTGAGGCCAAGCACAGCGTTTGTTGCAATCTTTAAAAAGTTGGAGGTTTAGGCTCGGCGCCTATAGCTCAACCGGCTAAGGCGCCAGCCACATACACCTAAGGTGGCAGGTTCGAATCCCCAGCCTGGACCCGCCAAACAACAATGACAGCTGCAACCAAAAAATAGCCGGGCGTTGTGGTGGGCGCCTATGGTCCCAGCTACTTGGGAGGCGGAGGCAGGAGACTCGCTTGAGCCCAGGAGTAGGAGGTTGCTGTGAGCTGTAATGCCACGGCACTCTACCCAGGGGGACAGCTTGAGGTTCTGTCTCAAAAAAAAAAAAAAGTTGGAGGTTTAGCCATGAAAAAGCACTGTAGGTATGGGCAGGAGAGGGCCTGAATTTGGAAAGCCCTGAACCAGGGCTGGCCCCATTTAAGGAAAAAAACACACACACACACAATGTGCAGGATGAAGGCCTTGGATGGGACTATGCAAGGGAGAGACCCCAAGGCTTCATAGTAAACCCACCCAGAGGTCTGTGTTCATAGCTGAAAGCCTCAGAAGGCACATCAGACTCCACAGCGCCCTTCCAGTGAACACGAGCTATCTTAACAGATCACTGTTGGGGGCTACTTTCCCTGGAAGGTTCTCGTGGGTGCCCATGAGCTCACAAGCTCTGTGCCAGGTTTAGGTGGGAGACAGGTGATCAGGGAAGAGGAAAGAGGGAAACTGGCAGGGGGTGCCAAGTAGAGGAATGGACAGGGGGCATGGAAGAAAGACACAGAGGGTGTGGGCTCAGCTCCCACAGCTCCCACCCCATGACCTTGAACGTCTCTTCCAGCGCTAACCTATTTTCCATGAGTCTGTAGAAGCCACTCAGAAGTACTCAGGCAGATCCCTGAAATAGAATTTGCCAATTAGTTTTCAATAAAAAGGCTTTCCTCAGGTCAACAGACAGGCAAATCTAATTTGTAATTTCCTTGTTCCTTAGAGCTGGGGACACCATGTGAACAGAAAGTATTAGTATGAGCAAAGGTTCCAGAGGGGAGGGTGGAAGTAAGATGCCTCGTATGGGAAGAGTGATGGAGCTCTCTGCAGGGAAGGTGATAGAGCTCTCTGCAGGGAAGGTGATAGAGCTCTCTGCAGGGAAGGAGATGGAATTCTCTGCAGGGAAGGTGATGGAGCTCTCTGCAGCAGCCTGTGGCCCAGCTCAGCTGCAGGGCAGCCACTCCCAGCTGAAGGAAATTGTGGCACTGCTGCAGCTCAGTTGTCACTGTCAGGGAGAATACTAGATGGTGGTGTTCATGAAACATTCTCCAAAGCACAGTCTGTCCAAAGCCTAACACAGTTCCTAGAAGACCATGTTTAATCAGCAAGGCTGCTCTTCTTCTGCTTCTGCCCTGTCAGAGTAAACCAGTGTCTTGAGTGAGCTAACAGCATCAGGAAGTGTGAGCAACCTGCACATGCCACAGCTGTCTGTGGGGACGGCCTTGCTGCACAGCACTCCCACCAGAAAGCCTCTGTTGAAATTCCCTGCAAGCAACGTGGTCCCCCACCTGTTACTTTAAAGGGCTGTTAATGCTTAACCCTCAGCCCCTTCCAATTGCTTTTTTTTTTTTTTTTTTTTGAGATAGAGTCTCACTGTGTCACCCTGGGTAGAGTGTCCTGGCATCATAGCTCACAGCAACCTCCAGCTCCTGGGCTTAGGTGATTTTCCTGCCTCAGCCTCTCGAGCAGCTGGGACTACAGACGCCTGCCACAACGCCTAGTTATTTTTTGTTGCAGTTTGGCGGGGGCCAGGTTCAAACCCACCACCCTCAGCATATGGTGCCCTACTCACTGAGCCACAGGTGCCACCCCCCTTCCAAGTACTTCTTAATCCTTTCTTCCCCACTCCTCGGGGTCTTGGAGTTCCATTGACAGGGCTGAGCAATAGAAAAGTGAAGATTCCCTGAGATTTGCTGTCCCTTTGTAAAGCTCCACTATGAGCTTTGCTCTGGCCTGGAACCAGGGTCTTCAAATTTCTAAACCCTGTGAATTCCTTAGGGACTGCTGCCTCTCAACCTTCTCATCTAGGCTTGGGGACCCTGGTAGGGGATGGCCCGCCACTGTGGTTTGAGAAAGAAACCGTGAGGCTGGGAAGGAAGCCCACACCGCAGCAGGTGACAGAAACACCTAAGGATTTTTGACTTCAGGAGACCTCTCTCCCTCCCCTGGCTGCTGTGGCAGGCCCCTTGTGCAGTGCCCTGTGGCTGCAGTGTGCATGTGCCTCTTGTCAGGAAGAGGTTGGGGCAACCTCCATCACAAAGCTGTTGGTACATGGTCCTTTAGCAATTCTAGGGTTCTAAAAAGAGGAGGGGGTAAGCCAAGTAACATTTATTAAGCACCTAGTGTGTGTCAAACATGAAATAGTGGAAAGGGGTTTATCCCAGTATCAAATCCTGGCTCCATCTGTCACTTACATCAAGGAGGGGTGAGGAAGCCACCCAGCCCATCTGAGCATTGAGGTCTTCAATGCCAGTAAAGAGGGGAAACATGCTGAAATGGAGAGCACCCAGCTCTACCTGGAGCACAGGTCACAATGTACACGCCTGGTGTCCATCCTGTGCCTCCTCCTTCCCACAGAACACTGTTTCTGAGACTCACTAAGGAGCCACAGGACTCCCGAGTCCTGTTAAGTCTCTCCTAGCCGTTCTGAAACTCACCCATAGTCTGGGAAGAGGGTTTGCAAAGCTACAGGAATCTCCATCCCAAGGCTAGAAATATCTTTATGCTATTTTCTTTGCCCAGTCAGGAAACTGAAACAAAGAACATAGCATATATGCGATATGACTTAAGAACATTTAAAAGAAAAGGAAATGTCTTCTCAGATTTTGGTGCTATCAAACCACAGAAGCTCAATGGATAGTGCTTGAAGCTGATGATAATTTAGCAGTTCTAGGCTTTTACTGTTCCCTTGGGTCAACTGTCAAGGGTTTCTGTTACCCCTACACAGTAGAACCTCTGTAAGTTGACTCCCCAAGGGACTGTAGCAAATTGGTCAACATAAGGAACTAGGCCTGCTGTATACTGATAAGGTCCGTGTGGTACATGTCTGGTCTGTGAAAATTAGGTCAACTTAAGGGGTGGTCAGTGTAGGGAGGTGGTGAACTAGGGAGGTTCTGCTGTATTTTTCATCTTTTCTTTTTGTGGTAAAATGGACATAACACAAAATTTACAATGTTAACAATTTGTAAGTGCACATTTCAGTGATAGTAAGTCACTTTAATGTCATCTTGCCACCACTGCCACCATCCATCTCCAGAACTTTCCCACCCATGAAACACTGGCTCCTACTGTCCCCCCCACCCCAGCCCCTGGAACTCAGCATTCTACTTTCACTCTGAGAATGTGGCTGCTCTAGAGGCCGCAGGTGGAATCGGTTTTGTCTTTTTGTGGCTGGGTGGCTGGCTTATCTCACTCAGCGTGATGCCCTCCAGGCTCATGGATAGGCGTGTAGCGCCCTCAGGCCCCCTCCCTCCTTCTTAAGGCTCAGAAACAGGCCGGTGCGTGTAGGGGGCATGCTGTCCATCCGCTCACCCATCCTCTGCCACTTGGGCTGCATCCACGTTCTGTGAATAATGTTGCCCCAAACACAGATGTACAAGCCCCTATTATTTTTTTTTTACAAGCCCCTATATTTTTAATATAAAAATTGGTTTTCAGCATATGAGAAAGCTGCCTCACACTGCCGTAGGTGGTATAAGCCAATACTCTGAAAATGGGATTTTTCAAAAACTGCAGCCTTTTTTTTTTTTTTGAGACAGAGCCTCAAGCTGTCCCCCTGGGTAGAGTGCCATGGCATTACAGCTCACAGCAACCTCCAACTCCTGGGCTCCAGCGAGTCTCCTGCCTCCGCCTCCCAAGTAGCTGGGACCACAGGTGCCCGCCACAATGCCCGGCCATTTTTTGGTTGCAGCCGTCATTGTTGTTTGGCGGGTCCGGGCTGGGGATTTGAACCCGCCACCTTAGGTGTACGTGGCTGGCGCCTTAACCGGTTGAGCTATAGGCGCCGAGCCAAAAACTGCAGCCTTTAAAATGAGAATGAAGGCCACAGGCAGCGTAGCCAGCTAACCCCTGGAGGCAGGCTGGGCACCTGTGGGTGACTGTGGCTTCAGGGGGTTGTGTAGGCTCCAGGTGCTGAGGGCCTCCACAGCGACAGGGACTACCGTGCGCGCCCCGCCTGGGCTTTCTGAGGTGTCACTAATGGTTTCTCTCTTCTCGCACCTGCCCCGCCCTCCCTGCCCTGGCCCTCCTGTCCCTCCACCCCCATCTCTTTGCTGGCCCCTTCTGCTCTCCAGTGCGACCAGGACCAGTGCATTCAGAGCACCAAATTCGTTTTGCAGGCCGCGGCCACGCCTCTGCTGCAGAGCGAGCCCAGCCTCACCAGCGACGAGCTGCACCTGCCTGGGAAGCCGGGCCTGGGCACGCCATGCGCTAGCCTGGCTCCCGGCCCGCCCACACCGCCCTCCTCCATGCCCAACCTGGCCGCCGAGGCCACGCTCGCCGACGTCCTGCCCCGCAAGGAGGAGCACGTGGCGCACCAGTTCCTGACGCCAGACGAGGTGCCCTCGCCCCCAGGGCTGCTGGCGGCGGGCAGCCCCCTGGCGCACAGCCGCACTGTGCACGTGCTGGGCCTGGCCAGCCAGGACTCCCTGCACGAGGACTCCGTGCGCGGCCTGGTGAAGCTCAGCTCCGTGTGAGCCGCGGGGGCCCGGCCTGGGGGCAATGACCTTCTCCTGACCGAGTGCCACGAGATGACAGCCCAGGGTCTAGGGTGCAGAGATCCCGTAGAGAGTGGACGGAGCCCTGGCTGATGGCAGAGGGCAGCAAGACCACGTGCTTAGAGCTTGGTTGTATTTGAATTTTCTTCTCCACCCTGAGCACTTTGACAAAAAGGAAAATAGAGAAAGAGCTGTTTTCGGGTGCTTGGAACTGAAAGGGTGGGCCTGGGGGCCCTGCTGCCTCCAGGCGTAGAATCTGAGTCTGGGAAGAACAGAGTCTGCCTGGAAGTCACACCTCTGCCTGCTCTGGTGACAGACACAGGGAAGGTGGCCAGACTGAAATTGCACTTAAGTGTTATGCTACTAATATTGAAATAGACATGCCATCCCATTTGTTAATTAAAACAACAAAGAAAACCTAACAGGAACAAACCGACCAGACGTGGGTCTGCATGCCACGCTGCGTCTGTGTCACAGTGGTGTTGGTATTCCAAAGGAGATGCTGCTCTTTCTTTTTTTCTTTTCTTTTCTTTTCTTTCTTTCTTTCTTTTTTTTTTTTTTTTTTTTTTTTTGAATTTTCCAGTGCTGTTTTGTTGGAAGACACTACAGCAAATGGAGACTAATGGACAGTGTCATCACTTGTCAGCCCGTTGGGCCTGGGTGTGTGTGGACAGGTGGCTGGGCTGCAGAGGGCGGCTGGGTTGTTACACATCCGATGTCATGTAAGCTCTGTTCAGAGTTCCCTGAGGTTTGTGTTGTGCAGCCCCACCAGAGTCTTTACCTTCTTGTGTGCTGAAACTTCCCATGGACAGCCAATAAAAAGACCTCTGTTATTCTGGGTCTGTGTACAGTTATCCTTAACAGTTCAAAACAAAATCACCTGTGGGACCTAGGGAAGTTTGTTTTATTGAAGTATCCCTACTGAGGAAAGGTCCCAGAACAACCAAAAATCAAATCTTTTGATTGGGAAATAGTTATCAGATGATTTCCATCAGTTTGTACCCCCCTTAATTGTCTCTTTTTGAGCCAGTCTTGTGGAATTTGTCTCCCCTTGCAGACTGCCACGCAGTAACCTGCAGTAGGTGCAGGGGACAGGGTGCTCAAGGAGGAGAGGCCCTGAGCGCCAAGTCGTGTTAATATGTACTGAACCCAGAAGCTGAAACTTGAGGTCCTAGGAGAGGTGTTAAAAAAAATCTTACCTAGATGCTAATCAGAATGGAATTTTAAAATTATCACCTTATTTGCTTTCATCTGTCACTTAGAAGGGAAGTGACTTTGTACTTAGGAAGTAAGTCACTTTGGAGGCAGCTATAGGGGACTCAGCAACTTCTCTCCTGGCTTCTTTCCAGATGACAAATCTAATAGCCAAATCTACTCAAGTTCAAAATCATGGTCTTGTGATAATTGTATAAAAGACAAGATGCATTCATCATTGATACGAGAAATCTCAAATGATTTGCATTTGTGGGAAAAGGCTGTTTCCCCTGAGAAGGAATTGCCCTTTTTTATAAAAGAAAAGGAAAGAGAAAAAAAAAAAAAAAAAAGCAGTTTTCAAGTTTTATTTGGAATAAAGGCAGTTCACAGGTCAAAACATAATTTCTCCTGGAAAAAGCTGCATAATTCTTGCATCACACTACCTTTGAACTATCTATTTTTCATACTGCAGGCACGTATAGAAAATGGAAAGGTAAACTATATCAGAGCCACCCAACATCTAAGTGCTGGTACCTACTCCTGAGTTATAATGATTGGCACACACCCTCACACACTCACAGTCACCAGTATACAGGGATTCTCCTTGCACACAAATTTGGGAGCACAAAGCAACAGCACATGAAGGAGCTTCCACAACCTCCCAAACCATCTCTGCCCCTTGCCTCCTCCCACCTGCTTCCCAGAAACTGCAGGAGAGAGTCTAATGAGACTCTAATAAGAAGGGAAGGGTGCTCAATGGGTGACCTCGAGACCACCTCAGCCCTCACTCCTGTAGCATGTGTGGCCCCGTCCATTTCCAGTTCTGCTGCTGTAAGATAACAACAAGGGTCTGTAGAGCCATTTCTCTTACTAACATTTCCTAAGTCAATGGTTGCCGATTGCCTACAAGCAGTCCTTCTTCCCACCTCATTATGAAAAAAGCCAAGAAGCCAGGGCCATTATTCACTTATCCTCACTTGACTATTGACTTAATATATATTATCAATTCTCCCAGCACTATCCCTAAACCCGTGTGGCATCATTTGTCAAAGAGGGGATTGGGAATTTTGGTGAAACAAATGAAGGCTATTCAGGGTTGAGAGAGAGGGTAACTTGAATGGACCTATTTGCTAAGACAAATAACATCTTAAACACCACCTTTCCATGCTCCCAGGGCTGGCTCCCAGCCCCCCAGTAGGGCTGGAGGGGTGGTCTGGGGGCATGGCTCATCCACTGAGGTGATGGCTCCGCATTTCCCAGAACAGAGAGGTGTATATATAAATGCCAAGCAGTTCCATCTACCCATGGCTGAGTACACTTGATGTTTCTAAACTCTTTCATTATATTACTGATTGACTGCATGCTAACTATGAAAAACAAGATAAATATTTTACTATGCTATTAAGGCTTTAACCATTGTCTATCTCTCTCACACACACACTCTCTCTGTCTCTCTCAGCCATTCTGTTGTTTAAGAATTCATCTGCTTTTGTTCTCCCAGGAGTACTCCAGGGGACCACAGGCTTCCTGGCCCTTGAAGGCACCTTAGCCTGAGAGCCCTGGTCCCTAGAAAGCAGGCAGCAGGAGCAGGAGGGTGACAGACAGACTACCTGGGAGAGCTGATGACATGTTACTCTGTGCCTGGGGAAACCAGCCCAGCCCTTAGGCTGTGCCCAGTAGAAAATGCTCCCAGCACTCCAGCTTTCAAATGTGATTATTTCTGCCTGAGCTAGCAAAATGCCAAGTCACTGTTCTGGCCCATGATGGCACAAAGGAGGAGGCTTTTACTGCCGCCCTCCACCGAGGACTGCAATCTTCATCGCTCCTGTCTAAGATGATTATTGCAAACAAGAGGCAACCCCTTTTATGAGCCCCATTCCTGCTAAGACCTGATGGATCAGTCCCTCTGATGCTTTGAAGGCCACTGAGCTCTTCACATCCTGGGCCCAGGTCTTCTTGTCTAATTCAACAGCAAGAAAAATGAATTTGCCAAAATTGGCAATAGGTAACCTTGGCACTGGGGCTTGTGATGGCATCTCCTGGGATATGCTGGAACCTGAGCCAGGCAGGAGCTGTCTCGAGGGTCCCCAGCCCACCACCTCAAAGGCTTCTCTGTAACTCGACTGCCCCCCTCCTGAGCTCAGCCAAAAAACATCTTCATGCCAGGAACCAACTGCTTCTCACCTCCAGCTTAGGGCTTTTGAGTTCATTGAGAGGTATCAGGGTCGGCATTAAGAACACTTTTTAATGTTTAAAGGATATAATAGGAATTTTTCCAGCAGTAGTTGTCTTTTACCCACCAGAGTACACTGTGGATGCCATTTAGTTTTTGAGCAGGTAAGAAAGAAAAAAAGGGAACAAATGTTAAATATACTTTCTAATTAATGCCTTACAACTGTTTGAAAGCTGAGCCTAAGTCGAATCAATGTTTACATTTTTTATTAAATATGTATGAGTTGAGGAAGTCTAGCATATTCTCTTCCAAATCAGAGAGACTTTCAAATAAGCTCATATTCCTCCTGGTCCCTCCACCAACTCTGGAGGCCTGTGTATGGCATTGTATGCTGTTTCCATGGTACTTCATGAAAAAGAAAACTGCCTCTCATATGTTCCCTTGAAACCTCTCTCTCTCTTTCTCATACGAGTAAGTTATTGAAATATGAAATGATCTGAAATGTCATTTTCTTTCAAATGAATGTCAAAGATGCTAATAGTTTTGTGAATCAGTCAGTCCTCTGTCCATTTGCCCATTGTACATGGTCCTGATAATACAGCCAAGATGGATTTTCACATCTAAATGGTTAGGACATTAATCCAGCCATAAAAAATAATTGGGAGATTAAAGATTAGATTGTTTCTGGAATAACTGAATTTGCAGCTGCCACAAAACTAGATAAATGGCTTCAACTGGAATTATGTTTCAATCTCATAAACCCCAGGAATTACATCCAGAATGGATTGGAAAGCAGATGAGCATCTTATGCTATTCAAAGACTTTTTTTCCCCATCAATTGTTGAATTTTTAAAAGAAGCTTGATGTTGATGAAAAAGACATGAATGAACAACTCTGAATTGTCTTCAATATTTTAAATGTGGAAACCGAGGGGATACATAGCCTATCCAAAGAGACACACGTTCTGGATTCTGTATGAATGGAGGTGGTTTTGGCGTACATTTGAAAAAAAAAAAAAGGTTAAAGCCTTGCTAACCTTTGCCCAGAGCATTCTGGGTTGGTATTTCACAATAGTCAAACATTTTAGCATGAAATGAAAAAAGAGTTTGAAACTCTTAGTAGATTCAAAGCCCCAAACTGAACAATGCTGAACTTGTGTACATGATATCTCACGTTTTCAGAGATATGTATGCTTAAGTGCCTTTCATGTTTTAATCAATGTTTGTAGAATTGATCTTAAACCTGAAATGAATTTAAAAAGCATCTTCCTCTTTCAATAAAAACTGCTAATGCTATAAAATGTACATTTCAGTCTTTATAAGGTAGATATTGTCCTGGTCAACAAGATATAGGGGGCTCGGCACCTATAGCTCAACCGGCTAAGGCGCCAGCCACGTACACCTAAGGTGGCGGGTTCGAATCCCCAGCCCGGACCCGCCAAACAACAATGACGGCTGCAACCAAAAAATAGCCGGGCGTTGTGGCGGGCGCCTGTGGTCCCAGCTACTTGGGAGGCAGAGGCAGGAGACTCGCTTGAGCTCAGAAGTTGGAGGTTGCTGTGAGCTGTAATGCCATGGCACTCTACCCAGGGGGACAGCTTGAGGCTCTGTCTCAAAAAAAAAAAAAAAAACAAGATATAGGGAAGCATAGGGTTGACTTGCTCTCAATACTGTGACCATGTACACTGTGCAGACAGCCATGTGTATAAGAATGTGGGTTTTCTGGTGACAGATATCCAGATTGGCGTCTTGAGCTGTGGTTCTCAGTTTTTTCTGTTCTTAAGCGGCTATGGAGCAGGGCAGAAATTCAACCCCTAATCCACTTGTTCTAATATACCCGCCACACATGCACACATTCCAGCCTCAGCAGATAGGAATTGTGTTTGGCTATGCATAACTAAATCTCCAAATAACCATGGCTTACAGAAAGAAATGTCTTTTCTGTCATGCAATTTAGTGCAGAACCAGGCAATCCAGGTCAGCGGCTCCACTCCAGTGAAGTTGTTCCAATGTCCTGTTCTGCCATGCTTATCACTGGGTGTCATCCTCAAGGTCACTTCATGGTCACAGTATAGCTGCTGCAGCCATCAAGCCCCCTTGAAGAGCATTCACAGAAACCCTGACCCATAATTCTTCCATGAGCAA